TGATCATAAGGTAAAATGTGAATCCTGCTTTAGTCTGTTCATATACACCTGTGCTCATGTCAGCAGTGACTGACTGCTATTTGAACTTAAAGCAAATGAACCCTGCCCCATCAGAGAGCTGTTCCCGCTCTCAGTGTAACCTTTGTGCTTCACAAGTGTGGCTATTCGTCTTGCTCACTTTTCTTTGCATAATTCACGTCCAGAAAATTGGCAGTGGTGGAAAGTAACTAAGTACATTTATTCAAGTATGGTACATACAATATTGAGGTATCTGTACTTTACTTGAGTATTTTTTATTTTGTGCTACTTCATAATTGGCTTCACTACATTTTATAGCCAAATATTTTTTTACTCCACTACATTTATTTTGTTATTTAGTTACTTTTCACAACCAGATTAATACAAAAATGACAGTAGAATCATAAGACTTGGTGGAAAATTCACAAGCTGCCCAACATTGTGTAAAGTACTTCAACTTATAAGCATATACGCTAATTAAAACTAGCTCCCTTTCACCAGAGGCAACACATTATAATACAGTAATATGATATACATTAATGTTAAATGGGGTGACTGTGTTCAATGGGTAGGGTGGTCTCCCCCAACCGGAGGGTTGGAGGTTTGAATCTCGGTGCCTGCAGTCCATGTGTCAAAGTGTCCTTGGGCAAGACACTGAACCCCCAAGTTGCCCCCGATGGTTAGAGCCATCGGTTGAGTTGGCACCGCAGATGGCTGCCTCAGTTTTGTACCGGAAACAAATTCCTTGTGTGTAACATACTTGGCCAAATAAAGGTGATTATTGTTATTATAATGAGTACGTCTAGTCCTTTAAGTATGTTTCGGTATACTTTGTACTTTTACTTAAGTACCATTTTGAATGCAGGACTTTTACTTACTTGTAACAGAGTATTTATACATAGTGTTACTGCTACTTGTATTTAAGTAAGGGATCTGAGTACTTCTTCCACCACTGGAAATTGGCCTACTAAGGCTTACATGGTAAATTCACCTTAAATAGAAAATCATATACTGTTTTTTGTTTTCTATAGATTTGTACAGCTGGGGAACTTCCATGAGTCCCTCAATGGGCTAAACAGCAGAGAGACAGACTTACAGGGTTGTGCACCAAATCTTGCTCTATCAGAAGTCATTTCTACTGTAATGTTAACTAATTTACTAATTACCGAGTGCCACCTAATGATCTAATCAGTGCTTGTGGATCTCTACTTGGTTATACATAGTCAAAACAATCAGAATCCAGTTGTAAACAGGGGCAAAAAACATTATACTCTATACACATTAGTGGTCAAGTCACCTCTCCAGACATATTTAAACTTTTTTTTTTTCAGTGTAATAACTTTTTCTTGATATGCTCTTGCAGGTTGTTGATACTGTATTTTCTTTTCTCTTCAACTAAAATATTTTATTGAAAGTAGGTTACAGTTTGCATGGTTTAAAGAAAACTACATAACAACACGTCTGACTTCCTGTTTCAAAATTCACAGAACAGGCAAGGCAGTAAAATAATTTCTTTAATAGTGAGACCCCATGCCTTAAAAATATGCAATGTATTCTTCACAGCAGTGTGTCTGCACATAATGTCATAAACATTGAAAAAACAGGGCTGAACAATCCTCCAGCTTCCTTCATCATGTTTGGTGTTGGACTGATTTATGTCAAGAGAAAAGGATTTTGACTACTTTTTGATAAATAAGTCATATTTTAGGGCATAAAAATACACATCCTCTGCAAAAACCTGAGAACCCTCATGTCAGAAAATGATTAATATCAGAGATGATGAATCAGCACACCTTCTAGATTTCAATATTCACTTCCAAAATATACACCATTCATATATTATTTCTTAAAAAATACAATGAACCTGAACCCTGTCTCTTACAATTTTGTAAACATTTTTAAACTTAGAAAAACACAAAGTTCACAAAACTATTTGCATCAACATTTCAGCAGAAAAATAGACATTTTGCACACTTACTTTGAAAATTTACAAAAACATCCTCGCAATCTGAAACAATACCAGTGATTTTAATTTTCAAGTAAAGCCCTCACACGAGGGCTGACTTTTTTTTGTTGTTGTTGTTCATATGGCTGTTTCAGTTAAAGAATTTGTCTGCATCTATTCTTCAAAGCATACGTACTCTGAGGACAATATATCTATGCCCCAAAGTGTTACCAAATGAAACCTGAATAACATTCGAATATTACCCCCAGTTCAATTTGATTTAGTCTGCGCTTATTATTAATACCTCTGAGGGGGATTAAGAAAAAAAAAATCAGGGTGGCATTAACTTATGTTTCACCATAGGATAATAAAATAATATGCTGTTTTAGAAGGAATCCTGTCTAAACAGATAAGGCTTTTAGATAACAAATATATACAGCAATAATATAATAATGTATGGAGTCAATGTCACAGATGCAAAGTGTAAACAAATTTCAGTGCCAATACCTTACAAACTATATGTTTTTATGCTGGCTGGGTACCGGTTGCACATACTGTAAAAGAAGCAACATGTAAACAAAGAGAAAGCTGCCTTTTGATCACACGTAGATACTGAACATAGATGAGTAGATAAAGAACAATCAACTGCTTATAATGTTAGAAAAATGACAAGTCTAAAACTAATAATGCCAAACTTCTTGTGAATAGTGACACAAAAAAAGACAGCATATAGCAAAACCCACATGGAGTCTTAATTTCCAGTGTGTATCTCCGATATTGTTCCTTAAAAAAAAGACTGACCTGTGCTCTGATAGCAGTGGTTTTCCACTTCACCTACACATTAATGTAACAACAAACACACAATGCTGCTTAAAGTCAGGGCATGGACATAAAGTGCATGGCCAACTGTACAAAGCACAGTCTTATCTGAGTCGTTTCACAGGGAGAGACAGTCAATCTATAATCCTTCAGCATACTACAGATGAGCTGGATGTGAAAACCCCCTACTTGTCATTTACGTGTTGCATACGTGAGCTTTTAATGTAAGAGTGGGTTTACAGAGGTGACTTGGAATGCTACAGTTTTGGGAAGTGCCTTCAGAATCGTACGTGTGGTAACCACAGTTCTTTCACAATTTTTTTTTTTTCACACTCTCTCATTCCTGACCTTCAACACCATGGCGATGCAAAGAACGAGATGCAAAGAGCAAGGAAAAGTGAAAGTGTGTGTGTGTGTGTGTGTGTGTGTGTATGAGACGGTGTTTATGAGAGAGAGAGAGAGAATGAGCACCCCAAACAGTATCAGGGTAATAATACTTCAGAAACCAACCTGCCACACACATTAACAATCCCCCTTTTCCCTCTAATTCCAATAATGCAGTAAGTTCTTGGTGCTCAGCTTCAGCTGTGCTAAGTAAAATGTGAAGGTGCAAAGGACAAAGCACCTGTGTGATGTTACCTTACATACAAACAGGATGAAAGTTGATATTTAGACCAAACATATATGCATCGCTTTACTGTGCCAGAAATCAGCACCAATAATGCAGACCCCCATCTCACCCCATCCAACAAGCCCAGGAAAAAAACCCACAACACTTATACTACAGTATTTACCCACTGAGCTGAAATCACAAACAGGATAAGATCAAAAAGACAAACGTAAAGCATAAAGTGAGGTACATCAGTGCTATCTATTCCCATAAAGCATAATGTTACACCTTTACCACCTGCTGCCATTTTAGTTCCTAAATGTTTAAGTCTGCTAGTATCACAGTTTGTGATACTTGAAGTTTAATGATTTATCTGTGTGCTACCGCTGCAAGCAACACGACCCAGAAATGATCTAATAACTGTTCATAAGAGCAGCCGGGGAAACAAACAAACAGCTAATTATTTGTGTGGAGAATGCATTACCTTGAAAAAGATGAGAAAAAAATGACCATGGCTAAACTTTATAAGGTCACAGGGCTGGCGAGAACCATTAGGCTACACTTTGTTTACTTGTTTTTCTTCTAGTGTGAGTTTGCTTAATGATCAACAGTTCTACCTTGTAAGTGCAAAGTTAATAGAGGCTGATTACTATGGAGAGAAATAAGCTTCAATACAAGCATCAAATTAAGTCTCGTGAGATATAAAAAAAAACATTTACAAATGTATGACCATTTAAAAAGTATATTTTATACAGAAAAACCCTTAGAAGAAATCAACTGGACTTAGATTTCTAGATCCAAGATGTTTCACCTCTCATCCAAGAGGCTTCATCAGCTCTGATGAGTTATCTCCAAACTGACTCTATTTCAAACCCAGTGTTCAGTAACCTAATATCATGCAGCTGAAGTTGTGAGTTGTGCATATAACATCAAAATATTTGTGATATTTTTTACTTGCCGTTATTTGCACATTATCAAACCTGCATATGGATTTGATGACAGTTGATATAAACTATTACAAGTCAAGTTTTCATGAGAAAAAGCCTCCTTTCTAAGTCGTATAGTGTTGATTTCAGTGTGGTTAAACTTCAAAAGAATAATCTGTCATATGGGCTTCATTTTTCAGTTGAGCTGATTTATTTATTAACCTATTTTTAACAGGACCTGTTTTAAATTGATAAAGTATATAAGCCACCAACAGGAGGCTGGTGGTTTCCTTTCTCTGTGCTAGTGACATATAAATGCTAGTTATTGAGAATTGGAAAATCATTGGTAGTGTAAAAAAAACTAAGCAACTGAGGCCAAAGCCTGCATGCAAAAGGAAATTAACCAAATATAATACATGCATACAATGCCAGTTGACATTTTACGGTGTATCAGTGAAGACTTAGACACCAGCTGAATGTTGCAAAGTTGTTTGGTATCAGCTCACTATCCAGGCTTTGTTGGCTTTAGCCAAATTAGATATACTATGGACTAATAATAATATGCACAGTAACATTTATTTAGTTTGGGTAGTATTAGTTTTATGATGGGAAAATATAATTATTATTCCACAATTTATTTTCAAATCATGTTATATATAAATATATCTGTAAATCCATTTTTTAGTTTGTGTTTATTGACATTCATTTGCCACTTGTATTTAACATTTCTCTTCATAGATTTACAATAAAAGCCTCCTATACTTTTTTTGTGGGATTAGAGACTACCTGAAGTCTCCTTATACTTTACCTCTGATGCTGGCATTAGTCATGGTTTTCCAGGTGGCTGAACTGAATTTATCCATCATATTTAGCCCACTAACCAGGAATGTGTTTTAATATTTTAAAGTATTCATTACGTCTTCAGAGTGAAAAGGGTTGTCACTTACAGCAGCATAGTGAAGCGTCAAGCACAAAAGGAGACATTTCCAAATAAGACTAAAAAGAAAAACAGACAGCTGCTTTGTTATACAGCTCATGAACATTGTGGGAGAAAAAACAACAACTTAACTTTCCTTCCTCAACATTTAATTATCTATTAAATATGTAGAAAATGTGTCTTTGGCCCATACCTTCATATGATTGTTAAACTGTAGCTTAAAAAGAAGTCTAGGATTGTGCTACACTTGTCCACTGTGCCATTCAGCTGTGCAGTCACAGAGGTTTGGTGGTAAGGACGGATATCAGGCTGCTGCCCCCTTCCCTTCTTTGTCTTTCTCCTAATTCCTACCCATCCTGTTAGTGGAAGGTGTGTTCACCACGGACTATGTGAGAGGAGAACTCATAGCGATCTCTGCTGCGGTGACCACAGATGTTGCACTCCAGTGGATCTCTGTATCCATGGCAACCCATGTGGATGGTGTACATGACATGGTCCAGGAAGAGCACTCGACAGTGCTCACACTGGAAGGCCCGCAACTCGTGGCCCTCTCGTCCGAACACCCGCACCCCTTCCTGGCTCACAGGCCTCTCTGTGGCCACTCGCATTAGCCCAGTCCCCATTCCTACCACGCCTCTCGGTGATGCTTCTGTCACTCGCTCACCTGAATAGGCCACCGCTGGACTTGCTCGAGACCTAAGGCCTGGTGGGGGGTTGCTCCCATGATAGCCATGCCTCTCCTGAGGGCTGCTGCGAGCTGAGTCAGCAGAGTCAGCTCCACTGTGGTTGGGAGATTCCTCTTGCCCTGGCTGGCGTGGTTTGCCCTGCCTGGTTGAAGCAGTGGGGCCATTTGAGGTGGGATGACTGGGAAAGTCATGGGGCTGAGATGGATGTGATGGCAGAGTGTCACAGTTCCCCAGACGCTCCGTTCGTTGGGCCAGAGGAAGGACATGGTGGAAGAGGGGATTGACCATGGGCATCACCTCATTCATAGAGAGGGGTGGGGTCGGATGGTGGAGCATGGGCCTAAGAGTGTCCGATCCCATGTATGTGATGCTATTGCTGATGGCCGGGTCCATCAAGTGGGGTGGCATCAGCTCAGGATGCTTTTCGTACTTAAGGCCCATCTCGTAGCCTAAATCAGGGTAGCTCTGGCGAAACATCTTTTCACCTGCATGAAACAGTGTAGCACTATGAGTTTGTGGAACTAGTTATTTTAACAAGAGGATACCAATTTCAAATGTAAGACACAAACTTAATATATACAGATGCAACAGAGTAAGTCGATGGAACCACTTGTGCTTTTAGCTACAACAAAGAGAGACAAATAACATGCACAAATATAAGCATGGTTCGATTTTACAAAATCTCTTTTCTAGTCAATCAAACTTATATCTTACTGGTACTTGTTTATCATATTTTCTACTTGATGCTGTATGCATATGGGTTTAATGTTGTGGAAAGCCCCATCCATCTACTACTGCACTGTTTAACCCTTTCACTACAGGGATGCGGTGAGCTGTTTTCTCTCGATTAGAGCAATGGCAAAGTTAGGTCTACCTAACCACAGAGTGAAAAACATTTCCTTGCCTCTCACTCTGATTGCTCTAGTTGCTCGATCTCTTTTTTCTAATAATGTGGCAAATAAAAACAAATTCAGAGAGAAATCTGTGCCCATAAGTAGGGCCTGGTTTCTGTGTGAAATTATATAATCATGCATGATGCAATACTGAGAATCACAAAAAAACTAAGTAGGTATAAAAACAAAGAATTAGTAATGACATATTTCCATTCTGTTAGCATAAAAGTAAAATCAGTAGCCAAGTGTCTTTCATGATGAAGATTAAATTAACGCATTCTAAGACTCCTGCAACGCAATCATTCATTCCACATTAATCAGTGTCTGCTTGGCCAAACTGTACCTTTCACTTTAAGAAAAGAACTCAGACCTAAAAAGCTGCACAAGTCAGACTCAAACTGATATCTATCATAATGTAATTGGACATGGCAACATGACAGTGACTTGCATGGGAGTGCATCAGTGCAGAACACAAAACAACAAATTTTTTTCAACCACTGCTTTAAATTCAGACACATAAAAGCAGAGGAGTCCATCTCCACAGTAGATAAAGCTCATGACAGCGTTTTACATACTCACCAACAAATTTCTGTGGTGTGGTGCTCTTCCTCTTGCCCACGTTGCTATGCAGCCTTTCAATAACGGGCGGCCGATCAAAGGTTGCCACAGTATTCGCCTCTGCCATGGGCCTCGGCTCTTTAGGAACCTCTCCTTGAAAGGTTGATTTGGGCCATTTGAAAGGGTAAGAATACATGAGTGTGCTAAATTCAGGGACTCCAAGACACAAATCAGAATTTACCTTTAAGAGTCAGGACCAGCTTTACCTTATCATTTTTAATGGCCAGAAATTCTTCCATAATCTCATTTTACTCTTACTTCACACACCTTCCTAATCTCATAGGAAGTAATGTTGATGTTACTTAAATCTCTTTTTCCTTTCACTCATCTTTTTAAGGGATTTTCTCCATGGTCTACCAACTGTATTAATTTGATGAATTTTATTGTACTGTATTCCTGTTTCCACCTTCATTTTCATGGCCAGTTTTAGTAAAATGATTTACCTGTGTAAGCACCAGTGTTAGCGGTTGGATCCAAGCTGATGCCTTGCAGGTAACTGTGGCAGCGCTCTTTATGTTCCTCCAGAGATGTGCGCTGCTTGTAGCTCCGGCCACAGTAGGTACACTTGTGTGGTTTGCCAACTAAAAGTGAAGATAATCGAGGGAGAGCATATTATTTTGATTCAGCGCTGCATAGAGAGAGAGAGTGTGTAGCATCCAATGAGGCGACGCAGACTGCTGCAGTGTTTAGGCGATGCATAGTAGTAATTACTGTACACAGTCAGTACTACAAACAAACCAGAAGCAAGCCTCTGAGATCATGGATCTTCCACTATTAGTGTGAGGATTCCACACAACTGTTGCCAAAGTTGTGGGCGACAGATAGTTGCACCATGAGGTCTGCATTTCAAAACTCTTTGGTCTCTGAAACATCTAACTCCCACTGCACAGCATGAGTGAATAGTGGAGTAGATCATGCATCCCATGGTGGCGGTAGGAAACTAGCTCCAGTGTTAAACTGCTGTGAAGGTGGAGTGTGATTCATAGTGCCATTTCTATTTTATTCAATTCCTTCCTACCTATATAAGTGGAAAGATGAAGACATGGCTTCTGTCTCATCATCAGCCCATTTATCCTTCCATCCAACTTATCACTTTATCAGTGGATCAGTGCATCAATGGATTAGTGAAATAATAACTGCATTAAAAGGTGAACACATTGATAAACTATGTTTGTTATTAAAAGAAAAATAATCACAAGGTTTTACAAAATTCTATCCTGATGTGTGTACTGTATAACTATGAAGGACCTGGTCTTGGACAATAATTAATTCAATTTTAAGCGAGTTCCACATGACTTATTATGGCTGAAAAACATGACTTAAACAGTGTTGTAGGACTTTAGAAATACAGAACAACCTATACGGGCCAATAACTGTTCAAATCACCAGTGCTACCATCTTTGTACAGTGGAACGCAAGCTGTTTCCATATCGAGGGAAAAGTTGAATTTACAAAATCATTGCAACATAATGTATTAAAGTGAAATCCTACGCAGGCAGACTGCTGAGGAAATATGTCTGTCTCCTGTGGTAAAGTATTCTCAAAACTCATATAATGACTCATAAAGGGACACAGTGAGTGAACTGGAGGCCACAAAATGTGACCCGGTGTGATGTAGTAAGACGTTCCCTGGATTGATAGTGACAGCGATTACTAGAAGATGTGCTTGATGATCAAGTGTGACACTGTGAGAACAGAGAAACCAAACACGTTTAATCTGCACAGTAACACATACGCATGCACACATTTAGAAGCAAGCGATAATTTACATGTGAACATAAGTACTCTGTCTCCCACAGAAAGGGATGTTGAGTTTATTAAAAAAAAAACTCTTAAAATGAACAATATGAGAATTTTCTTCCCTCGACTATTTCTTGATGATTAATTCAAAATAAAACCCACACGTTACAGAATGACATGGCCAGTCGTGGCCAATCCGACGTCAGCACGCACTTTTTCTACAGTGAATCATTTAGAATGATAACAAGTTTTCTGCTGTATGTGTCATTTAGTACACTTGTGGTCTATAAATGACATTGTATCAGCAAGTACAATAATTATGAACAAATAAAAAAATGGCGGCTAATCACAAAGAGTTTCAATATTATTCACGTGTGGGTAGATGTACCTGCAGGGTCACTGCAGTAATATTCATTTAGAAGAGTGAAAGAATAACTTCTAGATGAAACGTCAGCATGGAAATAATTGTCTTTGCTACTTTCCAGCTGTAAATTTAAAAGAGTGGAGTAGGCTCAAATCTACACACAGTCACAGCATAAGCTTACTTTTTTCATATTTATATAACCACCCACACACGGCCTTGGGCAGATGTTGGATGGATCTGAAGAATCTACCTTTCAGCTGCTATTCTTATTCATGCAAATGGTGCAGACTCACTTGAGTGATTGTATTTGGCTAATAAAAAGGAACTTGCTTGAATTTAAATCTTCTCTCCTACAAAATATACATTTTTTTTCCTCTCAAGCATTGTCATTGAAACTGTCTCAAAGGAAAATGTCACACTCCAACATTTAACCTAACCTCAGGGATTAAGGCTAAATGCAACACACTTTTGTTCTGCTATATTCTTCGTCATTATCTCTTCCTTTTGTCTTATAGTTTCCTTGCCTGACCTGTCTTTCTATGCTTTATTTCCTTCTTTTGGTGACACCTGTTCTCCCTGGCAAGGCACCAGGCCAAAGCTGCCAGGTTTGCAGTCGGGAGACTGCCTGTACATAAAGGAGAGTCAGGACACCAGAACTTAGCCAAATCGCATTCCTCTCATCTCCCACTGGCTGACCAGAGACACGAGGTTACCTTGCTACATGTATGGTTTAACAGGTAAAAGGGGTTGGGGAATGTGATGAGCAAATTCAACTGAACAATAAAGGAAGTGAAAATAAAAAAAATGGTTGTGGTCGATGGTGGAAGACAGATGTGGAGAAATAGATAGTAAGAAATACGTAAAAGAAGCATCTGAGTAACAACTTGGCCAGAGACACGCAATTATGAAAAATATAACCACTACAGAAAGACGTGTGAATAACTCCCATGGGGGCATCACATGTAGAAATGATGGTATTGTTTGACCTTAATTTCAGACACAACTGAGGGAAGAGCACATCCTCTCAGATAGGAAAGTGGGTTACAGTTGAGAGAGACAGCCAGCTCTCCCCATATGTTTCTCAACAGACAGGTTTTCTACTTAGCAAGTCAAGCAAATAAGGAAGAGCATGTCCTTGGTACCTAACCACAAAGCACTCACTGCTGTCTATAACACGCATAAAAACACCACCACATCTATCTAACAGCAGCACAAGACTGAGAGTCACTAACCAGCATTCACGGCTACAGTGGCTACCATAGCTGTGCTAGCTCTTACACAAGCAGACATAGTCACACAAAGCTTTAAAAGAAGTGTCTCAAAAGAACATTTAAGTTACTTGCAAACCATGTAGATATGTTTTTTTTTTAAACGGAAAACTCTGACCTATCACCAAGACTGGGAAGCGGGTGAACCAGGCAGCAGGTTCTGACATTGTTCCTGGTCTTTAGCAATAAAAATGGTTTTGCTGTCTGAAGATATATTTAGGTTCTGAGATCATATGTTTCAAACAGGACAGAAGTGTTTTTTAAGGTTCCCACATTAATGCTAGAGGCAGACTGGAATGCTTAAGAAGACATAATAATGAAAGGATATGGAAATGTATCACAAGAATAACATTAGGAAAAAAATACTTTAGCAGGAATCTGTCTCAAATATTGAAATGCTTCTAAAATTAAATGTAGTCAGTCTTAGCATTAAAAGTATTATGGGTCTTGTTTTTCCCTCCAAGTCTCTGAAAGACTTCTAATTAATGAAGTCTGTTTTGGCTAAGAGAAGAGAAGAGGGTGAGGAGGAGTCTTACCAGCGTGAGTGCGCAAATGACCGGTGAGGGCATCACGCCGCCGACAGGCATAGCTGCAGAAGGGGCATTTGAAGGGTTTTTCGCCTGTGTGCAGCTTAATGTGTCGCAGCAGGTTTCCCTTCTGGGTAAACGAGACACCGCACTGGTTGCACTGGAACGGCCTGTCACCTGAGAGGCAGGCACAGGAAGTCAATACCACACTCATTGTGGAAGATGTTTTTAGAAAGTATCAACAACCATGCAAGCAGTTTTTTTTGTACCTAACTGAACTTTTACTTTTTTTCTAACTGACAACTGAGTTTGTCTTTCCATATGCTGGAACCACTAACCACCCATAGCTGCTGTCTGTCAGACTGTCCTCGCATGATATAGGACTCCTTGAACTGCTTCTGGTAGTTGATTACTACTGCTAACTGCTAAATGATATTAGTTTTATAAAACTCATTCGAACTGACTCAAACTAAAACTAAATAGATAACCTAGGTTAAAACGTTCATCATCTCCCCATGTTTGCACATCAGCTGAAATGGGTAAACTCCAGACATATGCAAGTGCATACACTGCTCACTGACAAAAGTGAATGAACTACTTTTATTTGTGCATATTTTTAATAGTCAAGGCGATTTGTTTCACAGTAATGAATGGACAGATCAAATATCATTTTAATGAACATACAGTATGTGGAAGGATTGAGTTCAGTACATATTTCTGATTATAAAGGAACCAGTTTTTGCTTTTACTGTATGTATCATCAGTGTGTTTTCCTCTAATAGGAAATCTTTTGATCTGCAGACAGATGGAAATGCAATCCTAATGCTGTCTCAACCTGAGCGGTCATGGCGTCAGTCGGAACAGGTTGTGGGGGATTCCAAGGATATTTTTTCCCTGATAATAATTCCATGTTTAAGCTTTTGTCTTTCAAAAAAAAAAAAAAAAAAAAAAACTAAAAGCACTCCACACCCACTGCTGTCAAGGAAAACAAATGGTTTCTGACTCACTCTAAAGATAGGGAATAATACACACTGTCCTCATTTTAATGGTTAGAAAAGAGCCTGTGTGGATTCATAAGGTTCATAAAAAATTTGACAATTATACTGGATAGTTTCTGGCATTATAATATACACTGATTGGTACCATTTGGTTGTCGACTTCCTGCGTCAGCTGTGACATTTGGCCCAGACAGTCCATCCTGTATGTTGCTTGGGCTGCCAGTCATGGATTCCTCCAGTGCTACTCCTTCATCCCCTGTTTGGTCTGTTTCTTCAAGTGCCGGGCTTCTGTTGTCAGCTTCCTCTGCTGTTTCTTCCTCTTGCTTAATTGTCAGTTCTGTAATACAAAAACAAGAGAAATCCTGAAATGCTCAGCTTAAAACTATCAAATGCGGATAATGCAGGTTTCATGGGAGAATCACTGAAGTTCTTCTACATTCAACCTGTTTTGGTCCTGGGTTGCATGAATCAATCAAGCTAGCCTACCCTAAATGCTGTGTGGTGATGTACAATGGATGAAGTCCAAACTCTGAACATCACAACACTCTGAACTCTGAACATTCCCATTGAATTCAGTGGGAAAGTGTGTCCAAACCTTTGACAGGTAAAGTCGGTAATGGCTGGACTTTGCGTAGCTTAGATTTCAAAAGCCTGTGATGAAATGTATCAAGATGTACTAGATGGACTGGATGTAGACCGGAGTGGAGTGGATGGTTTAAGAGTAGCTATGTGGAGGAGGCATGCTAGTAACCTAGCGACTCAACGCGTAGACAGGATGGACTAACACACTGACAAGAGAGTTAAACAGAAACAGGCTGGTCTGGTTCCTGGCTGTCCCTGGGGAGAAAGGGAGGGCCAGAGGCCCTGTAGCTTAGTACACCTGACTAGCAATGGGAGACCAGCTGGATGACAGGGCAAAGACTGTATTATTATGTGCATGTGTGTGGGTGGTTGAGACAGAAAACTCTTCACCACCTGGATTCTCTAGTTATCAGTCACCAGCAATTAGCAATACACAGGCAACATCGCAGCTACACCTAGTTTCATTCACCTCCAGTCTTGTCCCTGTAAATCACTTGGATTGTACTGTGTGCAGTTCAGTCAACCAGAAAAAGAAGCTCCTTGAATTCTCAAGCCAACGGAGCTGGGTGCATTAACTCATAATGTTATTATTCTGTACAAGCCACATGACCTGGCCTCCTGAACAAATTTGATGTTGTTCCCACTACAGTTGTGACAGATTTCCAAGAATCACACTAGATAATGATCCAGAAAATCTTGGGCGCATTGTAGACAAAAAAAAAAAATCTAATCTTACTCTTATTAAAAGGTTAAGATGCATGTGAATGTGGATTTTGACATAGTGCAGAAAAACCTCCAAGCAAAACCTACAGAACCCGATGATCCGGTTTTGGGGATTTACAGGGGCAATAATCGCAGCGTGAACATATGTGGTTGTTTTACTAAAACCTCCCTGATTACATCCATCAACTGTCCCCTCAGGCTTTTGAGCTTTATCAACCTAATTCTCAGAAGCCCGTAAAAGAACTTTTGAATTTCAGTGAGCATTTCTTTTTTATAGACTACAGACAGAAATCACCACAAAGTAACTGCATGGCTTAAACTGATACTGTATGTTTCAAATGCCACAGTTTGGACAAAACGCTTATCCCAGTACCCATGTTGTGATCGAGCCTCGTCTTCAACAGCTGTATCCTGGCAACATGGAGCAGACCTGAATGTCCTTGCTATTCAGCTCCTTGCATCTTTATATCTGTGTCGCCAGTGTGGCAGAGTCGAATGCACAGGATCGTCATACTGCATGTGGGTACACTTGCAGTATGCACATTTGTTTCTACAACAAAATCAGCTATGACAACTGTTGAAATTCAGTTCTGGTATATTTCTACCTCTCTTCTAGATGCAGTGCAGTACAGTCTGTAATTAACAGTATCCCATTATCCATATAAATTCTGAGGTAAAGAATGCAATTGATTTAAATGCTGACTGAAAGCAAAACGTCACTATGAAGAAGACTTTGTTTTTAATCTTAGTATCTAAACTGTCACTTAGCCCAGAGGGTGTAATTTTACTCCTTTATCTTTTATTACCAGATAGAGTTCTTAAATACCAGGACAGCTGCTGTAGAGTTTATATTCTACTGCACGTTGCAGGATTAAGAGTTTGGCAATGAAATTTGACAGTGTTGCTCATTTCCAGTGGACGCTGTGATGCAGCTTTTCTTTTGTAACGAAACCTCAAATAGCAAATCGTGTTAAGCAACCTCCAGAATAACAGCGGCTCTTATCGGTGAAGAATATCTCCCTGTGAAAACCATTGCCCAGCCCGCCTCCTTCTATCTTTCAACTTGTGGGAAACAAGCTTCTCTTTTCTCACTCATCTCCCCTGTCTTGCTTCGTTTCCCCTTTCCTTACTTTGCTGCTTCACAGTGACATCGCTAAAGCTAATCTGAGGTATCAGGTAGGTATCACTGAAAGGAACCAAGCAACACTTCTGGCCAAGTGCAACATAGTACAGCAAAAGTGATACTGATCAAGATGGTGCAATACGGCAACAGTGTTGTACAAAACTCTGATTGTGGGAAGTATTTCTACTCACTATAACAAATGCCAAGTTATTTTTTTTATTCCTCTAATTCTTAATTTGAGACAGGACTGTGTTTTTTATTTCTGGTAATTGTACAACATATTTCTATGGTGCTTTTATAAAAGGTTTGCTTTGCGCTTTGCCCCCCGTTCACCCATTCATGCATTCACACACACTTGTACACTGGTGGGGGCAAGGTACCATGCAAAGTACTAGCCTAACCATCAGGAGCACCTGTTTCCTAATCGTCTCACATTTCCAGTGTCAATTTCCTGATGCAACTAATGCAAACACATCCATTACTGTATTTCACATGTATAGCTTTACAGTAGTTCAGGGGAAATACAGTAATCCTTCCCTTCCTGGAAGGCTTTTATTGTGAAACTGGAGTTATAATAAGAGTAACTTAACACCGATAAAAAAATTAAAAAAAAGCACAAAAACAATTTATTTGTAAAAAGGAGAAATGGCATGTGTGCATACTGTAGCTGTTCTGGCAGACCTCACAAGTGTGTATCTATTGATTGAGCACTCACTGGGGGAATCTGAACCCTGAGGAAGTGTCTCTCCATTATGAGTTGACATATCCACCAACATTCTTGAGTTCTCCTTGCCAGGAGAGCATTGACCGTTACCTGGGAGACAAACAGAAACACAGCAATCTTCATTGTGATGTACAGCGTGATGTACAACAAATACAACACACACATACAATATATATAGGACAAAACATTCAGTCTTGTTGTTTCTGATGTGTAGGGATTAGGATTAGAAGACACATTTTACAAAGTAAACCTAAGTGGTCAGTTTTGTGGTATATAGCAGTCTTGTCCAATGTCTTTCTATCTCAGATTATAACTAATTTCATCTCTATCACATCTCCTTCTATGGCTAACCTGAATGGTCACCACAGAATGCAGGAGACAGCTACCTAGACTTCATGCATGGGATCCTTATGTCCAGCAGATGTGATCAGATTGCATCCTCTTAGCCGTTTGTAAAAACACTGGCTATGGATAACCCTGTGTCCACTCAGAGCAAGTGCAAACCAATCCCTTATACCATTACACCCCAGCCCCATCAGGGTCACTAGAACAATAGAGTGGCAACAGGCAAACACCCCTGCTGACCCAGGTGTCAGATCCCTTAGGAACCACAGTGAGCCATCATTCATCATTAGCACAATTAGAGGGTTACCTCCAACATTCTGACAAGTGCAAAAACTGGAAAGGGATGCATTATGATGAAAAATCAAAGGACGACAGTGCATGCTACACCTGAAACTGCTACAAAAGAGGTCTTGTTACAATTTGTCAGTGCCGAATTTATCTGAAATGATCCCTCATACATGAAAGAAATCTCAGATCTCTTCTTGTTGTGACAGCTCCTCTAAGAACCTCTTGTGTGGTATTGTTCCATTGTAGTGGCAGCTCCACTGAGTGGGGCATACTGGGAGACGCTGTCCATGACACAATCCCTGGGCCTGGGCTTGGGTTGCACAGGTTGGGGTTAGAGGAAATCTCAGGTGACTAACGCTGGCTATCCCTTGGCAATGCTGTCCTGGAGACACGAGTGGCCCAGATTTGTCATGAAGGATTTTCCATTACTATAGCAGATGCTGACAGCCACCTATAGCAGCGCCGTGCTGAGACTAACCATCTGGTCTGTCTGGGTTCAAAAGGCTGAATTAATTCTAGATTTTATACATAGACTTATTGTTTAGAAAATGAAAGGGTCAAGTTAATTCCTTCACACCTTAATAATATGTGCCAATTATTATGCAAGTGTGTGCTCATTCATTTAAAATGCTGTCATTAAAGCCAGGTGTTTTGGTCTTTAGGCACTCACTGACAATCCAGGGACAAAGTCACTCTAATATTATGTTTGTCCATTGTTTATACTGGTCAAATACATCCCAGTGGGTAGTGAATTACTTCTTCTTCTTATTATTATTATTATTATTATTGTTAATAATAATAATAATAATAATAATTTGCCACATTATGAACTTGAATAATATTAAAAAAGCATTAAACCACACACATATCCTTGCATGGACTGAACTGAAGTTTCGTATCAGTGCCCCACACTGATCAATCTAAATTTCCCAAGGGAAAGGTACTGTGAGCAAAGCTGGATAATTTTTATATGTTATCAAATGGAAAGGAGCTAATGTGTCCACATGAAACTTGTAGGTGTACAGAAATCAAATGAATACCTAGCTTCTAAAGTACAATCATCGTCTCAGGAATCTAATACACTGGATTTCTGGTCTTACAACTTAATCAAAAGGGAGTCTAAGCAATTATATAATGCACTGTATATAGGTGCAGGGACAGTATGTGATGACAAGAGTCTGAAAATAACCAAAATAAACCAAGATCAAGCTCTGTTTCCCTGCTGGAAATGGTAAAAATCAATAATAGACATAGAAAATGGCACAACAGCACCTATGTCAAGCTGTGTAAGGGGCTGAATAAGATTCTATTCCAGAATGACAAGGTCCTCCATTCCAATTTGCTGGATACACACTCTATGGAGCTGGTTTTTCCTGTCAAACCCAGAGCCTTCCTTAAGACGCAGGTTCATAGATACGCACACAGAAAGAAATGCACCACAAACCCAGCAAACAAAAGGCATACACACAAATGAAAGCATCGATTCACCTAACTTTAACAAATATAAGACACGGTAATGTGAGGAGAGGTGATAAATCAGTACACCCTTATTTCCAGAGATATTACAGAAGCACCTGCTGTTAATTGCCAAGCCCTAGAATGCACTGGTGCCTTCAGTTTGTGGTAATTTATATTTGTGTATGTGGGGCTGAGCTGGAGAAGAGGGGAACCCAGTATAGTCCACCTCTCTAGACACTAATTTTAAGCTATGTGAGGGGTGGGTTTCAAGAAACAAGTGAAAACAGTGAAGACTTCACCGTAAACCCCAACTACTGAATAACGTAGCACTCTGCGCTGATACTTCAGCATCACTGAGGATGAGGTCACCAGCCAATTCTGTAAAGTTTATTACATGAGCTGATTAAAATAAAAATTATGCCTCTAGATGCTGTTCACTTTATGTCTTAGCCGCTATTTTAACTTGTTGCCTGCAAGTGCAGTGTTAAAAAAACAAAACAAAACAAAGCACCACTCTACATCTCTACCAGTTAGTTTAAACTTAAAACTAGTTGAAACCAAAAGTTTATTCAGCTAAAGGTTTACCAGGTTAAAACAAAATAAGGTTCAACATAACAGTAGTGAGGCTGGGACTCGTGCAGCTCATTATTTTTAATTTACCCACATCTATCCCGTCAGCTACCACTAGCTTTGTACATAACACGGGAGATGTTTTCACCTGTGCCAAGATCACAGCTCATCAAGAAATTAAACATCAAGCTAGTATTGTTTCCTGTTTAAAAGACCAAGAGAATTTATTTTTGAAAAAAGTCTAATTATATCAAGCAAGTGTCAGAACATTTATTTCACTGTTCAAAAGTTAGTGGTCAAGGTCTAGTGACCAACAACTGGATGATGAGCAGTTCATTTCTTTACAGTATAGTACACTATGTAGTACAATAATGTAGAGACTGAAGGTAGTTACTGTAATCTCTCTAAGTGACAAAGAACATAAGTGCTTTCATGATGTACGGTATCTATGAGACAATGAGCATGTCTGATAACATCTGCATGTGTTTGAGACAATGGCTGCATATATGAGAAATTATCACAGTGTGCGTGATGCAAAAAAGTAACATGCCATGTGTGATAAAGTCTAACTGTGCATGAGAATGTGACTGACGGAGGCAGTTCATGTGGTTACGAAAAACAGAGAAGAAGAGTGTGTATAAAAAAAGAAGGCTGTTGATTAAACAGGAAGGCAGCTTACATGCTCAAATCCTGATTATCAAACAGCCTTAATAAAGAAACAGGTTTGCCACTGGTGCTACCAACATTTGCCCGACAAAGTGCATTAAAATTCGGCCCAAAGCAAATTTGTGATATTGGGTTTTATAAATAAAAGTTGACTTGACTTTAGAGCCTTGTGTTATGTCAGTGCAATAGCAAAGGTTGCTCTGGATTTTCAGCAATTGTATCTTCACTTGTTCTTTATGTTTATTTGCAATGCTGTGCGCTGATCAGGAATTGAAACCACAAATATTCTCAATCGCATACAGTTTTATACACTGTCAGCCTGTGTGTCTCATACTAGTATTCTGAGTCAGAGATATTGTTATCCTCTCTTACATATAGCCTATAATAGTATCTATATATGAATAAGAATAGTAGTAATCTCCCACACACCTATACTGATTCAACTATTTTCCATCCTGTTTGTGGAACATATAGTTTCTTTTGCTTAGATGCATATGAAAGAGAGACTATCACTCTAGCATATTATGTATACATAAAGAAGACTACATGTGTGCTGTGTGATGGTGAGTTGAAGACGTTTGCATATAAAAGGGGAAGGCAGGACTAATGCACTAATCTATAGCAGTAGGTTGCAGTGTGTGTGAGAGTATAGTGTCATATGAACAAGATTATGTTGTTTCCACTGCGTCCCAACAGGCATAATGTTTGACCTAAATTTGCTCTCATAGCCAGCCTTACCTTGCTAATGTATTGAGAATATATTAAAATACATGGGAGCAATGAGGATACAAATGGATGAATTCCACAAAAACGTGTGTTTTCCGCAGTTTCACACTAACAGAACATTTGTTCCGAAACAATCATTTCAGAAGCGTCCCACAAACGGACAAGGAAAGGAAGAGCCTTCTTCTTCTGCCACCACCCATACCTCGCCTGCCAAGTGTTCCTACAAGTACAAACCCCCAATGGAGACCTAAAAGTCCCCACTGATGTCATCAACAACTTGTCACCTGTTTTCAGATATGCATACTGAAGCGAATTACAAGGGGGGCAGGGAAGATGTTCAAGCGACCTGCCCAGAGGAAACCAGCAAAGGGCAATGGAGCACCACAAAGTGCATATCCAGTATCTGCTGCATTCAACAGGATGTTGCTAATGCATCATTTTCTCTACATTTAGGGGTGAACAGGAAAAAGGCTGCACTAGGGGAAAATCCCTTGAAATGTTTATAAGTGTTGTGATTGCAAAAATTATTTCTTTCTTTCTTTTGTATCAGCATTATATGAAAAAGGCGAATGTGAGAGTCAAAACATGTTCATCACAACTGAAGTAAATTCAAATACTGAAGTCCGAAACACATAATAACACGATGGTACCGTGATCGTTATTATCCCCATCATCAGTACAACAAACTGATGCACATTCCGACGTAAAATATAAACAGTCAATGGTCACAAACTGTGGAGTGGAGTGTGCACTGAGTGTAATGTGTAAGAATACAAGGACTTACTAGCACAGTAGCCATCTGAAGACTCCATTTCAAGTTATTTGGGAGTGCTGCAAGGAACAAGAAAAATATGACTTTTAGATTAAACAAAAGCTTTGTTCACATGCATATGCCTTCATTTCTTGTCGATATTCATAATTTCTTTTCCTTGAAAAGTGTAATTCAAAAGCTGTGCAGCTATGTGTCTGCCACAATGATGTGCATCCTCAGGATTAACCCTGAACATGTATTCACACAAACAATCAAGCTGTAAACAATAAATTACAGCCACAGTGATATCTAAACTTACAACCACAGCTACAGATATATGGACTCCAGTGTGTGGAGGCGCATTACAACAGACACACTAGTCCGTGTGATGTACTTGTTAGAGAAGTACACTCTTTTAAAAAGCTGTGTTTGTTTCATGCTCTCTACAACAATATGTTTTTGCCAAAAACTTAAAGTATATCTGGAACGGCCTGTCAGTGTTTTGCATTTTGTGAAGATGCACAATTATGGTTTATATAGTATATTATATATAAGAGCCAACCTTAACTGTGATAGAAATTATGTGATTCATTATTTCAGCCAGTCTTCATGCAAAACAGGTAAAAGAAAAAATATGAATGTACTCACTAACTATAGTGACAAAGTGATAACTGTTTTACTTAATAATAAAAAAAAAAACACTAAAATTCAGTGGGTTACATTTTGATTTTTTGGGAACATCTTATTTTAGATGGACCAAATAATCGACACACAAAGACTTCAACTGCAGAGATACACCTCAACACACACCTTTATAAACTTCATGCAGTAGGTTTTCTAAACATTTATGGGCGTGTTAATAACATGTCTACTTTGAAATGAAGTTGTAATCACTTGTGGGTTGCACAACTTATTATTATGAATCGTAAACAAATTTTTGGATTCCTCTCCGTCTCTTAATCTATTGTTATTATTGTGTAGAAGATTTGTTAAGGTCAGTATGTATAAAGTACTGTATGTGTGTTATAATTATTAGAATTTGGAAAAACAAGGCATCAGAGAGGCTGTGAAAATTTACTACAGTTTCTGAACACAACAAATTTGTACTGTGGCACAGCACGAATGCTAACCTCCTTGAAGAGCAAGAGGTTTAACCCTTTAATTACAGTAAAATATATCTACAGGCCAAATGCTGAAGGTCCCACCTCGTAATGGTTGGTTTCTTTTGGCTGAACTATTTCCTAACAGCACTTTACTGTGTGACAAATATGATGGGACTTTCAGAGCCAGCTGCAATTTTCTTAATGGTCTCAAGTTTTTAATGAGCTTCCTTCTGTAGTTACACGGAGGAAACATCAGGCCACTTTACAGTCATAGCCTTTGGAAATTAGTTTTTGATCCTAGTTATTGTTATGATGAGCTCCTTAACAACTCAGTATGTACTACATAGAACAAATGTGGTCTGATAATTACCTTCCAGTGTCTCCCCTGTGCAAAATTTGTTGGTAATTTCAGTCAAGGACGAAGGGAGGGGGGTGGTAAATTGTCTCCACCTCCCTTTAAAGAAACAAAAAAATTCGAAATTACCTATTTCGTCCAGTGATCGTTCACTATGAAAGAAAAGAAACCGTCTTTCGTGTCAGCATGGTTCAACAATCCCAAAAAAAGAACATGGAAAAACATCTGAACTCATCTGAGCAAGTTCAGAAAAGCAGAGCAAAGTTTAGGATGAACGCATGTGCGGAGTCCTGCGGGTTACTGTCGCTGCGTTACAGCCTCTGGTGTGCGCTCCCCGTCGAGGTTTTTCCACTTTAAACGTGGCGGTGACACCGTCCCGTCGAGCTCAACACGCACTTGATTCAAACTTGCGACATTTCATCAGGAGTCACCAGCTGTTAACTGAGCCGCACTCGGTAAACTTTCTTTACAGGAGGAACAACGAGGCAGAAGACTCCACCAGTTGGTAAGGGAAATAAAGAGGGATGGATCAAACTGGATCCACCGGTTCGTACGGAACTAACCATAGCGGCAGGGAGCTATTTTCAACAACCATGGGACTGGAAATCCGTGGGCAGTCAATCTTGAAAAGCTTCTGTGGAGGTGACTCAAGGTCGGACCGGCAGAGCTGCTGCGGGGAATGTGGGGAACAAGGTGATGTAGGCTTAATGGCAATAAAAGGTGGGTAACCTAAACCGCTGCATGGCAACCACCGCCTTCCAAAGACATGACAAAAAAGACATACTGGTTAATTAATTAACCAGTAAGTGTAGAAATGAAAATGACTTCCTCCCTTTTGTTCATTTATTGGCCTGCCACCTTTGACTCCACTTCCCATTATGTCTGCAGCATCACTTTATGTAGCCGAATTAATATTGAGCCATGTCGGCGGTGGGAGAACTCTATTTTGCAGATGCGGAGACATTAAGCAGTGAGGGCAGGGAGTATTTACCTGACAGGCAACAGAACATGTCTGGATTTAGCCATCAGCTGCAAAAACCGATGAAGCGACTTATGTTGTTATTGTGCCAACGCGCTGTGTTTCTCGTGTTAAGAGCCTTTTGCCGGCTGCCTTGCCTCCGTGGAGCTGACTGACAGCTGCAATTCAACAGGTTACCCGATCACCGCAGTCTACAGCAGATAGCCCGTCTGGCCGTCCATTCATCAGACAGACGCTCCTTGTCTGCCTTTGCTGCAGACATGCGCCTCCAACAGCTCCGAAGCGTCTGTAGCCTTTTAATAGTCGCATAATACTGAATGGCAACATTAAAGCAGCAACAGAATGCTTTGTTAATACAGGAAACCGATGCATGCACTTATGCTTCTTTCGTTCTCTTTTGCATTTACCTTAAACACGTAGGAGTTTATATAATCCCATGAACTTGCAAACTGATCCAGACTGAATGTCTCGGCTCCGAAGAGATGTCATTCTAGCACGACGTGCGCCATGCAGCGCGGACTGAAAGGTAGTTTGATTCCGCAGCAGCAACAAAAGCAACAGTTGTTAATTCACCACTGACTTCCTCCTCCATCTCCTCAGGAGCACAGAGCAGCAGACAGCCCGCCCGAGTTGCTATTCTGGGAAGTTGGTCTGACACAGAGAAACCGATCACAGAGTGTGGACAGTCTGCCTCTCTGCTCGGCAATCGATTAGGTTACAAGGGGCCTCTCAGAGGCTGTAGGCAGGTTGTATGTCGGGACAAAGACACAAGGTCCACACTATTAAAGTGCTCCATTTCTACAGGGATATCCTCCAGCTATATTAAAGCGTATGTAAATTAATTATTACACTTATACTGCAGACATCTGGGAATTTTGCAACAAAATTGTTAGAATTGTAAATGCTGTTATCTTGTGTTGTCTTCCCCCCCCCCTGCCAATATCAATATTTGAGAGTTAAATAATATTTGCCAATATCAGTGTTTTAACATTAACAGACACATTTTTTTTATTAAAGGATCACTTATTTGTACCAACAATTCACAACTAAGATGTACTAAACAGAACAGTGAAAATTTAACCTCATGTGAATACGTTCTGTAATACTGGCACTGTTACTAAAAGAAAGATTTTTGGCATTTCTCTGTTACTTTCTTGTTATTTATGATTAATTACCAGCCAACAGAGACACAGTCATGGCCAAAAATATTACCACCCCTGCATTTCTGTCAGATAACGCGCCACTTCTCCCAGAAAATTGTTTCAGTCACAAATTCTTTGGTTTTCTCATGTTTATTTCTTTTGTTTACATTGGAACAACACAAAAAAGCAGAGATAAAAAGTCAAATCCGATACATTCCACACAAACTCCAAATATGGACTGAACAGAATTACTGACACCCTAAACTTAATACTTGGCAGCACACCCTGTGGACAAAATATCTGAAATCACTTCCTGTAACCATCAGGGAGTTTCTTCCACCTCTCTCCTGGAGTTTTGGTCCACTCTTCTTTTGCCAACTGCTCCAGGTCTCTCAGATTTGAAGGCTTCCTTCTCCAGCTGCTGTTCTGAGATCTCTCCACTGGAGCTCTATGGGATTTAGGTCTGGACTCATTGCTGGCCACTTCAGAACTCTCCAGCTCATTATCTGAAACCATTTCTGGTGCTTTCTGAAGTCTCCTTTGGGTCATTGTCATGACCTCTGACAGAGACCCACCCTTATGACCCTGGGCCCTACATTGTGCCCCATAATTCATTGTAGTCGTCAGATTTCATAATACGATAGACACAGTCAAGACATCCAGAGCCTGAAGCAGCAAAGCAACCCCAGAACATCAGTGACCCTCCACCATGTTTGACTGTAGGGGCCGTGTTCTTTTCTTTGAAGGCTTCATTTTGTTTTCTGAAAATGATGTGGACAACCAAAAAGATCTATTTAAGCCTCATCTGTCCACAGGACATTCTCTCAGGAGGACTTTGGCCTCCTCAGGTAAGTTTTGGCAAACTCCAATCTGGCTTTTTTATTTTTCTGTGTCAGCAGTGGGTCCCCTGGGTCTCCTACCTAAGCATCCTTTGTCATTCAGATGGCGATGAATAGTGCGAGCTGACACTGATGCACCCTGTGCCTGTAGGTCAGCTTGAATTTGTTTGGAAACTGATTAAGGTTTTTTATCCACCATTCAAACAAACCTTCATATGGAATCTGCCATCTGTTTTTCTCTATCGTCCACATCCAGGGAGATTAGCTACAGCGCCATGGGCTGTAAACATCTTGACAGTGCTGTGCACAGCGGACACAGGAACAGCCAGACCTCTGGAGGTGGACTTGTAGCCTTGAGGTTGTCCAGGCTTTTCCACTATTGTGGTTCTGAAATCCTCAGCCAATTCTTTGCTCTTCTTTCTTTTCTCCATGCTCAGCATGGTCCACGTGACACAGTTGAGTCAACATTTCTCCATTTTAACTGGTTACAAGTGTGATTTCTATATTGCCAGCACCTGTTGATTGCTACAGGTGAGTTTCATTACAAATTAAAGGAACATCACATGCTTGAAATACAACTATTTCTGATGATTTTGAAAAGGTGTCAATTCAGTTCAATTCAATTCAGTTTTACTTGTATAGCACCAAATCACGACAAAAGTCATCTCAGGACACTTTACAAAGTAAGACCTTACTATTATTATGATTATAGAGGAAAAACCCAACAAATCCCCCTTGAGTAAGCACTTGGTAACAGCAGGGAGGAAACAATCCCTATAACGGAAGAAACCTCTGACAGACCCCGGCTCTTGGTGGGCGGCCTTCTGCCTCGACCAGTTGGGGTGAGTTGATAGAGAAAGAGAAGAAAAGAAAAGCAACAAGACACAACCAACGCAACAAGAAACAGACACTGGGCAGGTTGATGTGGCCAGTGCTCATCAGAAACGTAGAGATTCAGAGGCAGGGCTACCTGCAGAAAGGTAGAGAGAGAGAGGACACACTACGGGAGAGGGGAGACACACAGTTAGTGACATGTGATGGTGGCAAATAGATGTGTAGAGAGAGAGGAGAGAATGTACCATCACCTTATAGCAAGAAGGTTCTGGGTTCAAATCCTGACCGGAGTCTTTCTTTGTGGAGCTTGCATGTTCCCTCTGTGGCTGCGTGGGTTTTCTCCAGGTACTCCAGCTTCCCACCAGTCAAAAGACATGCATCTTAGGTTAACTGGCAACTCTAAATTGCCTGTGTGGCTGAGTGCTTGTCTGTCTCTATGACTACCTTCAGACTACATGCTGAAGTGAGTCAGATCAGATCTTTTCACTGATGTATAGCCAAACCAAATCTGCTTTTTGTTTTTAAATTGGAGCTGGGCCACATTCATATGTGATCCTAGAGCTGACACACACAGAACTGCTGTCAGAACAGTTACATCAGAATTCATGTTCTTTTTTTTATTTTATCTTCTCATCTCCTCATCATTCAGCGGCAGGCTCTCACAGACCAGTTGTAAATGAACATGGATGAGAGCAGCATCATGTACATGTCAGTGGAGAGGTGAAGATGTTTGTGGACAAGCCAAACTAGAAGGAACGAATCATAACTGAGCAGTTTTTCAGGCAACACAAATTACATTATTGTTGTTATTCTTGTACACATGGCTCACATTTCAGTTAAAGCAACAATACATAACTTGGCAGTTATGGGCGAGATGAATTTATTTGTTTGAGGGACTAAGGTAAAGGGCTTATTACATTTGAAAAAACCAAACACATCTCTGTGAGACAGGATGACATCGACAGGGTTACATTGAAGTATTTCATAAATAACGTTAGCAGAATCTGTGACAGACTAACAACCTGTCCAGGTTGTACCCGCCTCTCGCCCAGTGACAGCTGGGATAGGCTCCAGTGACCCCCATGCCCCTATTCAGGAAAAAGCAGTATAGATAATGGATGGGTGGATGGCATTAGCAGAGATGTACACTCTGCTGTGGTGTTTGTTGTTTTCGTGCTAGCACATAACATCACAACAGTAGCTATTAACAGTTAGTAACCCTGACGGTTATTTTTAGATCTCGCCAATGAGTAAAAGCCAGTCCAGTATTTACTCTCTCCAGTCTCTTGCTCTCTTTTTCTCTTTCTGGCTGTGCCTACTACCTACTGCTACATGTGTGCTTTAGTCCATGTGCTTTTGCGGTAGGTGATTGTAGTAAGTTAGTAAGTCCAAACTTTATGTCAAACTCCAGAGGACAGGAGGACACAGTAAACTCAATGTGCAGCCGGAACACCAGTGTCCTTGCTGACTGCTCTGAATGAGATGTAGCTGCCTGCTAAGGAGAAGGTCTACTAGTGGGTCATCACAGCTACAAAGACAGAGCACATTTGCTACAGTGGAAACACAGCTAAAATGTGCAGCTGGAACACCAGCATCCTCGCCGACAGACTACTGTGGTCTGAACAAGATGTAGCTGCCTGCTAACAGAGCCAGCTTGGTCAAATAATAAGTAACTACATCTCAGAAAACATGGAGCCTATCCCAGCTCACACTGGGCAGGTCGCCAGTCTAGCACAGGGCTGACATGTTGACAAACAACCACACACACTCATGGACCATTTAGAGCCACGAATCAACCCAAACTGTGGGAGGAAGCTGGAGTACCCAGAGAGAATCCACGCAGGTGCAAGGAGAACATGCAAACTCTACACAGAAAGGCCCCGGGCTCGAACCTGGACCCTTCTTGCTGTGAGATGATAGCACTAACCATTGTGCCGCTGTGCCACCCTGAATACAAAGCATCAACACAAAAAGATTGGATCTGATAAAAAGATCATACTTGAGCATTAAGGCCTGTGACGTCAATAGAGGTGTTACGATACACTTAGCTCACAAGATTAGACAATACACGATACTGGGTTCACGAGAATGAGACCAGACAATATTTTAACATTATTTTTAAGAACTCTTCAAAGATGAAATATATGACTGGAAAAATAGTTTTTTATTCAACTGAAAGTCACAAAATGCAAAACAATGCAGGTGCATTTTGAAATGTTTTAACTAATCATCTTGTAATGAATGTCACTTCTACTTTCTGAGGATGAATTATCATATGGAGTAAAAGACAATATGCAGGCACTGTAAAAGGTTTTGCCACATACTCAGCTGACTGGCTTCTCTTCTGTACAATTTAACACAAGTCTTTTCAGACCTTCTAACTGTGCATGAACTATGCATGAGCATCTTACCTCTAACTGAAGATGCGTGTGACCATCTAACTGAACTCCTTTACATAAAATGAACATAAAAAAGTAGCGGGGGCATCTTCTATCTACGCTCACACTCTGTCATGCTCTGGTTCTGTTATGTACCGCTATCACGAGACAACTTTCACCTCGACAAACCGTCGCATTTTAATATCACAAGTTCTTGTGGCACAAGAGCTCATTACACCTCTAGTCGTGAATGTAGTGTTAGTGTCGAACATGCTTTTGCATGAATACAAAAGAAAAGGCTTGGATGTTGTCTGGGACTGTTAACACTGTTACAGTGTGTACTGTATATGATGTAATCGTGCTCTTTGGCCTCTAACCAGTGTGTTTTGCTGATATCAGCCTTACTTTCTCATTATTTGGGGTCC